ATGTAGAGATTCTCAGGTCATGGTTGTCCCAAAGATGTTTTTTTTCAGGAGGCAACTGGACTTCCTTTTTTTCTTTTGAAGGCGTTTCGCTTCCCATCTAAGAAGCTTCTTCAGCTCTGACGGGATAGTGGGGGAATGGAAGGATATATATTCCTTGCAGACAGCTGGTCATTTGCGTCCTTTTGAAAGGTCCTTGAAGCACTTTGAGGTTTATCTGTGTCCTCAGGGTCACCTAAGTCAGGGGTCTCCAGCCCCTTGGCAACTTTAAGACTTGTGGACTTCAACTCTGGGAGTTGAAGTCCACAAGTCTTAAAATTGCCAAGGTTGGAAACCCCTGACCTAAGTAGTGCTAATGGTTCCTGTAGTCTGTAATTTTTTCCCCTCTGGGAATCTATTCCTACTCCCACTATCCTGTCAGAGCTGAAGAAGCTTCTTGGGTGAGAAGCGAAACGTCTTCAAAGAAAAAAACAAAACAAAACAAGAAAGTCCAGTGGTCTCCTGAAAAAAAGCACCTTTGGGCTTGTTCTGCTGCGGTTTCCTATCCTCAGATCAACTTTCCAATCGTTATTTTTGCCCCTTGGTGAGGTGCTTCATTCTGCTTGGAAGCAACCCAGTAAATTCAAAGTCCAGGTTTCTTCGCTTTACCTTAACAGACCTCTGATCCTTCCCGCCTCCCACATCCTTACACAAACACAAACACACACAAACATGTACGTTGTATTTGGTATATATTTCACGTGGCGCAATACTGTTGTCTCCTGAGTCCTAGCTGATCGGCTGGGTCTTCTTTTGTTGCCCTGAACAGGAGAACAGAGCTGAAAAGCAGGTTAGTGAGTTGGGGAGGGAATGGCGATTTTGCAGTAACCTTCCTCTGCCACTCCAACCAAGCCATGCCCACAGAACCAGTAGTAAAAAAAATTTGAATCCCACAACTGCCCGCCCCCATCTTTTCTCTGCTTCCAGAGTCTCAGCTGATCGGCTGGGTCTTCTTTGGTTGCCTCGCACAGGAGAACGGAGCTGGAAAGCAGGTTAGTGGGGTGGGGAGAGAATAGGATTTTGCAGTAACCTTCTCCCAGGAGTGGGGTGGGAATGGGGATTTTACAGTATCCTTCCCCTGCCATGCCTAGCAAGCCACACCACACCCACCAAGCCACAGCCACAGAACCGATAGTAAAAAAAATTTGAATCCCACCACTGATCTGTTGTAACTTCAACTGGTCACTGAGTGGTCGGTCATAAGTCAAGGGCTATCTGTTGTTGTTTTTTTTACCTTAAATTACCCAATGCATTAATCTGTAACCTAGTTTTATATATTCTACTGAACATTTCTCTTTTTCTAAGTTGGACTAACTTTTTTTTTTAACTCAAAGGTTTCTATTAGCCCTGAATGATAAATGGTCATAAGGCTAATGAAATGAAGTATTTTGAAGTACATTTGTTAAATGTGAATCAAGTAGCTAATTTGAAACAGAGTGTAATGGACAGAAATGTTCATGCATTGCAAAAACCAGTGCGTCATTGGAGAAGTAGGATATAAACAAACCAAAAAAAAAAAAAAAATGTCTAGTAGCATCTTTTCCAATTAACCAGTTTTATCAAAAGGCAGAAGTTTCTCCAAGCTGCAGTCTCTACACTTTCGGAAGTACAGGAAGTCCTCAACTTAACGACCAGAAGAACTGAGCCCAAAATTTATGCTGCTAAGTGAGAAAACCTGTTAAGGGAGTTTGTCCCATTTTACGACTTTTCTTGCCAGCGTTGTTAAGTGGATCACTGCAATTGTTTAAGTTAGTAATGTGGTTGTTAAGTGAATCTGGCTTCCCCATTAACTTTGCAGGCTTGTCAGAAGGTTGCAAAAGGGGATCACAGGACACCGCAACCGTCCTAAGTGTGAATCAGTGGTCAAGCACCTGAATGTAAATCACGTGACCCATGGGATGCTGCAATGGTCGTAAGTGTGAAAAAGTTACTTTATTTTTCAATGACGTCCTAACTTTGAACGGTCACTAAATGAACTGTTGTAAGTCGGGGCCCGCCTGTATGGAAGCAAGAGAGAAGGGCAATTTCTTTCTTTTCTTACCGTAAACGTACTCTCCGTTTTCATAGGTACGTGACTTCGCCCACCAAAATTGTCATGTTTTAGCTGGCAAGCTTTTTCTCTCCTTCAAATTAAAGCCTCGTTTAAACATCATTTAATCTTTAATCTGGGTGCATTGGGTACATTTGAAGTGATAGAAAGAACAATGATGATAATACTGCCCATACTCGGGGCATGGATGCCAAGGATCAAAGATCTACCTGCTTCGCCTTCTACACACATACGGACTTGGCCGTGTTTTTGTAAACAGTCCTTGAATGAAAAAAGTTATCATTCTCGGAATAAAGTGCAAATTCCTCAACACACGGTTACACACCGCACACAAACCCTTCCCAGTTGTCTGTCTTGCTTTTTGTTTTTCTCTCCATCTCGGCGGGGAATAACAAGAATCCAGGTAGCCTGGTAGCCCCTTTTCCAACTAACCACAATTTTATACTGTGTAGGCTTTTGTGATTTCACTTCATTTGGATGTATAGAGCCCAGACCAGAATTTCTCAACCGTGGTAACTTTATGAATAGAATAGAATAGAATAGAATAGAATAGAATAGAATAGAATAGAATAGAATAGAATAGAATAGAATAGAATAGGAATTTGAATTGAATTGAATTGAATTGAATTGAATTGAATTCTTTATTGGCCAAGTGTGATTGGACACACAAGGAATTTGTATTTGGTGCATATGCTCTCAGTGTACATAAAAGAAAAGATGCATTCGTCAAGAGTTGAGAATCATAAGGTACGACAATGATAGTCATAGGGTACAATAAGCAATCAAATCATACTAGGGAAGAGTCCATATAAATTGTAAGGATACAAGCGACAAAGTTACAGTCATCCAGTCACAAGTGGGAGGGGATGGGTGATAAAGAGTGATGAGAAGATTAGCAGTAATAGTAGTGCAGACTTTGTAATAGTTGAACAGTGTTGAGGGAATTATTTGCTTAGCAGAGTGACGGCTTTCGGGGAAAAACTGTCCTTGTGTCTAGTTGTTCTGTTGTGCAGGGCTCTATGGCATCGTTTTGAGGAGTTGAAACAGTTTATGTCCAGAATATGAGAAGTCTGTAAATATTTTCACAGCCCTCTTTTTGACTTGTGCAATATACAGGTCCTCAATGGAAGTCAGGTTGGTAGTAATTGTTTTTTCTGCAGTCCTAATTATCCTCTGAAGTCTGTGTCTGTCCTGTTGGGTTGCAGAACCCAATTATTATTGGTAGAGATTCTGCTTTGTGTAGCTTTTATGAAGTAGAACACATAATATACACACTTTATTGCTGAAAAATGCCGTCTAGAATTACCAGTCCCAATTCCTGTAAAATTCTTCTCATTTCCTCAATCAATCATTCAGAATAGAGTTGGAAGGGACCTTGGAGGTCTTCTAGTCAAACCCCGTTTCTCAAGCAGGAGACCCTATACCCGTGATGGCGAACCTAGGGCATGTGTGCCACAGGTGGCACGCAGAGCCATTTGGGCCGGCACGCGAGCTGCAGGCAAATTTACCTCACTGGACATGCGTGTGCCTCACAGCTTATTTTCGGCCGGTTTGAGGCCCCCCAAAGGTTTGAGGAAGGCTTCTGCAGGCTTTGCAGGCCGAAAACTAGGCCAGTTTCCTCACTTCCTGTTTTTCCGAAAACAGACACTATAGGCAGGTTCTGGTGTAGGCAGGGTCTCCTGCTTGGGGGTGGGGGGTCAGACTAGATGACCTACAAGGTCCTTTCCAACTCTTTTAATCTGTTAAAGATCTCTAGATTTAAAATTCCCAGAATCCCTCAACCAGCATGCGGGGAATTGAAGGTCCATACAACTTCAAGTTGTCAAGGTTGAGAAACCCTGGTTTAGAGTTGATATATATTGAAATAGGCCCTTTACATTTAAATGTATCTTACAACGCCAGGAGCCCAGGTGGCGCAGTGGTTAGAATGCAATATTGCAGGCAAACTCTGCTCACTGCCAGCAGTTCGATCCTAACCGGCTCAAGGTTGACTCATTCTTCCAAGGTGGGTAAAGTGAGGACCCAGATTGTGGGAGGCAATATGCTAGCACTTGTAAACCGCTCAGAGAGGGCTGTATTGTACTATGAAGTGGTATATCAATCTGAAGCGCTGTTACTATTGTTATCAATCTGACCACTCTGCATTCTGTGAAGTGAGGTGCAGCTCCCAAAGGCTTGTAAGCCTTTTAATAAAATTGTTTAGCTGGAAAAGGTGCTACCAAAGTTCTGATTTTTGAAACCATAAACTAACTGGCTCTACTTGTACAGATGGTTCTCAATTTACAACTGGCTCTACTTGTACAGGTAGTTCTCATTGTCACCAGAATTCCCATTGCTAAGCAAGATTGTTAAGTGAATTGCACGGTTTTTTTGCCACGGTTGTTACGCAAATCATTACAGTTCATTGAATCAGATTTTTAAGTAAGATCCAGCTTCCCTCATTCACTTTGCTTGTCAGGAACTGGCTGGAAACAGAACACATAAACTTAGTTATCAAAAGAAAGATATAACATGGATTTCCTTACAGTGAAGGTGTAGATGATTGTTACTGACTTGGTTTATACTGGGCCCTGTTGATTTTCTGATTGGGTCTTATTTTTCACCTTTTCTCTAAAATGGGTGTCCAATTTTGGCAACTTGAAGGCTTGTGGACTTCATCTCCCAGAATCCCCCAGCCAGTAAGACTTGTGCACTTCAACTCTCAGAATTCATAACTGCCTGGGGAATTCTGGGAGTTGTCCACAGGTCTTAAAGTTGCCAGGTTTGGACATCCCTGCTCTAAAACAACACCCTTTAAAGATGAAGAATGCTAATTTCTCATTAGCCAGGGTGATGATTTCTAAAAATAAACTGATCTTATTTAGAAGCTGTGATTTGTGTTTGTCAGCTTCTCTCTTCTCTGTTCCCCCCAAACATTCTAAGAAGATCAAACTCGTGAGGCTATCTTTTGGAAAGTATTCCTAGGATATATTTGGTTTTTTTGTTTTAAACTGAAAAATGAGAAGAACTTTGAATGGATGGTTGTATCAGCCTTTTCAAAATGATCCTACATATGGATGGAATAGACCAGCAACCATAACACTTTTGGAGAAAAACAAGAAGCCGAAGGAAGGATTAGATTCTGAAGCCAAGGAAAATGGAAATAAACCAGAGAGTGATTGACATAAAAAGGAAAAGCAACATGGAGCACCTGTGAATTGTGATGCAAATGTTTTGGAGGAGAGCAGAAAATAGGAACACAAAGTTACTAATTCGGGCTCTTCTTTGTTGATCACCCATCCTTGTTTATCACTTCATTAGCTTTACCCCAGGGAGATTCAGATGTATTGCTACATCTGTTTCTCTTAAGGAGCTAAAAAGCAGCAAGGACTTCTCAGAATAACTTTGGAAGGGAGATTAGCATGATAATGTGACTGGACCAGTTTTCTGCTGTGACGGGAATTCACACAGATCACTAAACCCGTGATAAGGAAAGAAAGCTGCTTTTGTAAAATCTGCTGTGCCCAAACCTATGTGATTGCTAAAGGCAGGGGTGTCAAACTCACATTGGCACGGCGGCATCACGTGACTTATCGGGACTTTCCCCCCATTTTGCTGAACCGGGTGTGGGCGTGGCCAGCACATGACACCCTGGGCTAAGGCAAGTGGGTTTGCCCAAAATGCAACGGTGATGGCTGGGCTCTCTCCATATATGCAGAGGTGGAATTCAAAAATCCCAACAACCCGTTCTCTGCCCGGTTGCTGAGTGTGGCCAAGGTGGGCGTGGCCTACCAGAACTTCCGGCAGGGGGGGGCGCTTTTCACCTTCCTCAGAGTCCAGAGGCTTCCCTTGGGCCTCTGGGAGGGCGAAAACAGCCTCCCCCTGGGCTCCAGAGGCCCTCCAGAAGCCAGAAACAGGCCCGTTCCCGAACTTCCAGAACTAGATGCAAACTAGATCTGAGAGCCTCGGTGCATATCCTGCATTTTCCTGCATCCAGAACAGGCTGCGTGGAGACTCCTGGGAGGGGCAGGGTAGGGTGGGCGGGGCCAGCCAATCGGTTCAAATACTGGTTCGGCGAACTAGATACAAATTTAACATCTGGTTCACCCGAACCAGCCTGAACCGGCTGAATCCCACCCCTGCATATATGGTGAAACGCAAATTAGTCAACTCCATTTTAGCCTACTATAGCCTGTGGTTCCCTAGCTGTAGGAATCCAGCTGCATCAGTAGTGCTTTTGCAAATGGGAACTAGATTTTTTTTTTCCTTTGAAAATGTTTCACTTCCCATCCAAGAAAATTTCTTCAGTTAGAACTGAAGAAGTTTCTTGGATGACATGCAAGATGTTTTCAAAGGGGAAAAAAAATACCAAGAAAATACAGTTACCTTTTGAAGAAAAAAAACACCACATATGGGACAACTATGATCTTGGATGATTGAGAATCTCTATAGACCTGAATCCGGCTGCAGTTCTTATCCTTCCCTATAGTGCTGCAGTTACCAAGAAGCCAACCCAGTTGTAGGCTGCGTTAACATATAGGATAGAATCAAGATCACGTGTAGTGTTAATACCACTTTATAATGCCTTGGTAAGGGCACACTTAGAATACTTCATCCAATTTTGGTTGCTACGATGTTAAAAAAGATGTTGAGACTCTAAAAAAGTGCAGAGAAGAGCAAGAAAGATGATTAGGGGATTGGAAGCTAAAACATATTAAGAACGGTTGCAGGAACTGGGTATGTCTAGTCTGATGAAAAGAAGGACTAGGGTTGACATGATAGCAGGGTTCCAATATCTCAGTTGCTGCCCCAAAGAAGAGGGAGTCAAGCTATTCTCCAAAGCACCTGAGGGCAGGACAAGAAGCAATGGGTGGAATCAAATCAAGGAGAGAAGCAACCTAGAACTAAGGAGAAATTTTCTGCCAGTTAGAACAATTCATCTGTTGAACGGCTTGCCTCCAGGAGTTGTAAAGGCTTAAAAGTTTCTAAGAAGAGATTGGATAACCACTTGTCTGAAATGATACGGGGTCTCATGCTTCAGCTAGGGGTTGGACTTAGAAGACCTCCAATAACCATTCCAACTTGGTTATTCTGGCTTTCCACTTGAGAGATGCCTACTGATTACATCCAGAACCTCACTAGGTTCTTGGAGATATTTCAGCTATGGAAGGCTTTGCCAAATGTGGCACGGGTCAAGCTGAAATAAAACGGACTTAAAGACCACGGGGGAAGAAGCATGGATGTCAGAGAGAAGCAGCCAAGGTTGTTCTTAGCCCCAGTTGCCTTTGCAATTACGTTGTTCTGTTAACGTTTTAAAGATCAGGTTGCCAGCTCTGCAGAGACACGTTGCAATGAACTGCCCCCCTCTCTCCCCCCCTGCATTTAAACCTGAGTTACTCTGCTCAAAGGTTAACCAGCCCGCTTGTTGTCCGTCAAGCAACTTGTCACAGCTGATCCTAGCAAATGGTTTGGTGGTGAAGCCATTGCTCCATTAATAGCTTTCTGGGAATGCCTGAAACATGTGTTCAGACATAAGCAAAGTTAGGTGGACAACAGGGGGGAAGGGGGAGGGAAAAGGGTATCGTAGCCCTCCATTTGGGACAGAGGAAACAATTTCACCTACACCCCAGTTCTTAGGTGTTGAGGTATATCTGCCTTGTTCTCGAACGGTCAAGGTTGAAAATACAGGTAGTGAATGGTCCTAGCTTAGTGACTATTTGAAGTTAAAGCAGCACTGAAAAAGGTGATAATGACCATTTTATGAATCATGGTGGCGCAGTGGTTAGAGTGCAGTACTGCAGGCTAGTTCTGCTGACTGCCGGCTGCCTGCAGTTTGGCAGTTCAAATCTCACCAGGTTCAAGGTTGACTCAGCCTTCCATCCTTCCGGGATGGGTAAAACGAGGACCCAGATTGTTGGGGATGATAGGCTGACTCTGTTAGAGAGGGCCGTAAAGCACTGTGAGGCGATATATAAGTCTTAAGTGCTAGTGCTGTTGCTATTTACACACTTTTATGACCGTTGTAGCACCCCCCTGGTCACATGATCAAAACTCGGGTGCTTTGGCAGCTGTCGTGTCTTTATGACACTGGCATGTGATCCCCTTTTGCGACCTTCTGACAAAGTGAATCTCTAAGGAAGACTGATTCACTTAACAACCGTGTTACTAATTTAACAACTGCAGCGATTCACTTAAACGGTGGCAAAAGAAAGTTCGTAAAATGGGGCAAAACGCACCTGCATGGGAGAAATTTTAGGTGGCATTCTGCCTGGGCCACAGCTGTACAACATGCTGTTTGGTTTGCATAAATGATTTTTTAAATAAACTTTATTAATCTTTTATGTCTTTCAAAAACAAACAAAGGTTATACGTATCTTGACACTGACAGTTTGTGATATTCATCTCCCATACTTCCATTTTGTGCATTATTTACAAATATATACAATTTATGCAAACGTAAACATTTAACCAATTTGATGCTTATCATTAATTCTTTCATCATCTATCTATCTAAGCTCAATCCAATCGTACCATTTTCTCCAAATCCTATAATACTCAGAGTCCTCTTTCTCTTGTAACATCAGGGTTAATTTATCCATCTCCACGCAAGTCTTTATTTTTTTGGATAACCAATTCATCTGGTTGTGCATAAATGATTTTCTAATTGTGCTGTTGTCATTCATAATGTGACCTTAGGGACTTAATGCCTTTGAATTTTGTATCCTATTCTTTTTTGGATGTGGTGCAGATAGTTCTTGACTTACAACATTTCATTTAGTGACAATGTGGGGAAGGGGAAGTTTTTCATCCTTCTGATCATTGCAACGTCTCCATTTTCACATGATCAAAATTCAGACACGCGTGGCAACTGACTCATATTTATGACAGTTGCAGCCTCCTGGGGTGCCCTGATCCCCTTTTGCGACCTGACGAGCAGAGTCGATGGGGAAACCAGATTCACTTAGTGACGGTGTGACTAACTTAACAGCTTGCGGTGATTCACTTAACAACTCCATTGTTAGCATCCAAGATTCTGTTTCTGCTTGACTCCTTCCAGCTGCCATAGAAAAGGGGGGTTGGGGGAGGAAAAATTGGGCCTCGTGGGGGGAAGGGTGCTGGAGATTGAAGTTGTGTGAATTGTAAAAGTTGGGATGCTTTCCTGCTTTCTGCGCAAATGCATCCACTTGTATTTTCTAGGCCAAGGTCAACCATCTTGGCATACCAGATGTGTGAGACGCCACCTGAAGATGTACCAACATGATATTATACACACCTCAGATTGGATGTCCAGTTTGAATTGTTAGGGGTGGGGACATGGAATAACTTTCTATATGTAACTTCCACGCCTTTTGTCTCAGATCTTGTATTTCTTCGGTTGCTACCACTTCAATTTCAGTAAAAGTCCTTTTCTCTATAAAAAGGGAATCTAAGGTTTTCTTTCTTGAATTTTGAATGGAGCCACACCTGACACCCGGCAAGAAAGCTTGTAAAGATGGAGCAAAACTCACTTAGAGCAACTGTCTCACTTAGCGACAGAAATCTGGGGCACAATTTTGGTTGTTGGTTGAGGGCTGCTTGCATCCAGCCTGCACCATCTCGCAGGGATATTAATATTCCTTGGCTTTGCCAATAAGAGAAGATGCTTGCCTGTGTTTTGAAGCCCTACGGTGATGACCCAGGGTGGGATACAAAACAAACACAGTCACAGAAAAACAGCTGAAGCCCCTTTTATTCCTTCACTTTGCTTCCAAGCTCCAAATATCTTTGACAGAAGAGAAAAAAAAAACTCCCACAGAAACAGTTACACGAAGAAGGAAAAAAGCAACACAAACCAGACAAGATGAGGGCTGGAGGATGTCCACAGATAACACACACTGGAAAGACGCCAAACTCAGAGAGGAACCATAAACTAGAGATATTTCCATGCTTTGTTTCCAGCGTTTGCCAGTACGCAGGTCCAAACTCTTATTCAGTTGTCACAGCTGCAGCCCATGAAGAGGATC